ACCACATATTGTGTGATTGCATTTATATGAAATGTCCAGAATATGCAGACCTATAGAGACAGAAAGTAGATTCGTGGTTTCCCGGGGCTGAGGAGAGGGAAGGATGGGGAATGACTGCTAATGGGTACAGGGTTTCTTTTGGGGGTGATGAAAATGTTCTAGAATGAGATGGTGGTAATGGTTGTAAAACTGTGAATATACTAAAACCGCTGAATTGTACATTTTAATAGGGTGAATTTTATAGTACATAAGTTAAATTTCAATAATGATGTTAATAAAAAAATCAAAACAGGTAATTGGGTAAAAGGGGGTTGGGGAGAGGCAGAATTGGGGGAAGCATTCTCCAGGGAGGAGTATCAGGGTGTCCGCAACCCCAAGGGGAAAGAGTGTAGTGTGTTACGGAGGCCCTGGGTGGGGTGGGCTGGGCTGGCGTGGGCAGTCTTCAGTTTTATTATTAGTAGAGAGTCGCTGGGGGGTTTCGGTGGATGGTTTCATAGGTGCTTTCTCTTCCTTGGGCATTTCCACCTGGGGAAAATGGCCCCTCCGTGAACTCCTAAATTTGCATCTTATTATTCCAGAGAGGAGTTGAGTTGAGACTTCACTCTCTTAGCCAATTTCCTAGCTTCTCAAAGGAGGGACCTCAATATGCCAGTTTGGGCTGAGGGCATCTCTAGAAGACTCAGCTGGTGGTTTCCCTAATGGTTCCAAGTGGCTGGCATTTCGAAGAGCTCTTTGTGACTGTGTGATGCAGACAGATTGGAGAGGGCCAGGAGTGGATTTAAGAGGCACCTGGGGCAGCTCAGGTGAGAAGAACCTGCCCGTCAGGGAGGCTATAGTTCAAGGTCACCCCACTAGATGGAGCCAGACCTGAGTCCCTCTGGCACGGTAACCTCTTCTCTCCACCGGCCACTGATTTGCACCCCCCCAGGTAGTCTAGGCTTTCCCTGGTGGCTCAGACAGTAAAGAATCTGCCTGCAGTGCAGGAGACCCGGGTTCAATTCCTGGGTCTGGAAGATTCCCTGGAGGAGGGCATGGCAACCTATTCCCATATCCTTGCCTAGAGAATTTCATGGACAGAAGAGCCTGGCATGCAACAGCCCATGGGGTGGCAAAGAGTTGGACACAACTAAACTACCACAGTTTCACTTTCCTATATTCTTAAACAGCCCAGAGAGTGGCTGAGATGTCCATGCTTAACGAGCTGGGGGAAGGGAAATGGACATCGTATTAATCAGGCTAAATAGAACTTGTGGCTCACTAGGGCTGGCCTCGCTGCAAACAGTGGAAATGGGCATTTGTTGCCAGGACACTGGAGTAACTCACAGAAGCTCAGGCCCCAGGAAGGGCTGGATCAAGCACACGGATCAGAGGAAGGCCCAGGAGCCCTCTCTCTGCCTTGCGTTTGCTCAGCGCTATTTCGGCTCTCCTCTCCTGGCTCTCAACTGCAGACCACCTTTCTCTTTCCCGGGCATTTCCACCTGGGGAGCATGACCCCTCCATTAGCCCCATTCATTTGCATCTTATTGTCCCAGAGAGCAGTTGAGTTGAGACTTCAGTCTCTCAGCCACTGTCCTTGATTCTCAAGGAAGGGACCTCTAATATGCCAGCTTGGACTGAGTGCACCCCTGGAAGAGTCACTAGTCCTTGTGTAAACTCAGGGATTCTGGAGTCCACAATGCAGCCTGGCACAATGAAGGAAGAAGGGGCATCTGATGGAATGCAAGTGGCCTATGGCAAGGGTCCCTGCACCCCCACCTTGGAGAATGCTCTGCCGAGGATGGATCTGCTTCTAAACTGCACGAGACCTTATTTTGTCACTTGAATTTATTTGGAAACAGCCCTCTGACTGTCCACCTCCCCCACCCCCGGGCCTTCGCTTTCAACTCTTCGCCAGGCAGGGAACATTCCAGAATTTAGAATTAATCTTCCTACTTTTGTGAATTCTGTCCACTTCTCCTGAAAAGCAAGGTCTAGCTCACGCCCTGCTGAAAAGCTCATTGAAAAGGACCCCAGTTATTATCATTGTCTCATTTTCACCTGCTGTTTGAAACTCATAGGTGCTGATTCAGGTGCCTGGAAACCCTGGTGATTGTGGAATAAATGGGCCTCTGATTGGGGACAAGAGGGGACAGGAAATGGTGAGGTCTGGCAGGAGGCAGGTGTGAGGGTCACCTGCCAATCACATCCCCAACCCCACGGCTACCAGCCTCAGCTCACTGCTTTCAGCAGGCCTGCAGGTAATGTATGCTTTGCCATCTGCCCTTTGTGCCAGGGATGCTGTGGTCGGGAGAGGGAGGGGGCACTGGGAGCCCCAGGCCCTTCATGCCTGGGGCCATTTCCAGGGCTAAGAAGGGGGTTGATCCTGGATGGGGCTTTTTCTCTTGCTGTGAGGAGCAGGGAATTGAAGTCCTTTACTCGGGAGCTCTCTCAGACATCAGAGTGGGAGGCAGGGAAGGATCCTGTCTGCAGATGTGAGTTCCAAAGGCTCATTTCTCTTTGAATTCCTTGCAGCACTTCTAGGAGCGCTGCGGCTGGCCATCTTCTGACAGGCTGTGCGCTGGGTGCCTGGCATGTTGTTATCAATGCTGATAATGATGCTGGTGGCATGCACACGGCTGGTGCCTTACCTCTGATTAGCAGTCACTAACCTCCACGTTTAATTTCTGTTATAATCTAGTGAGTGAAGTAGGACAGATTGTTTTATATACATTTAATAGCTGATAAACCTTCAGGTTGGCTGGGCATGGGATGAAGTGGGTGTGTGAGGAATTTTTCCCCCTCACAGCCACACAGCTGGTCAGAGCTGGGATTGAAAGCCTGTCTTCCAATCTTGGATCCTGGACTCTGTTCACAACAGCGTGGAATGATCTTCTGAATTCTCTCAGGCACAGACAGTGGCTTATTCTTCCTGGTTTTCCTGTCTGTCATCCATCCATCTCTCCATTTATGCCTCCATCTTTTTCTATAAAGGAATTGAGATACTAGTAAGAACATATGTTTCTCTATATACCTTGAATATATAAGAAACTAGAGCTAAAGTAGATACTTAATGCCAGAGCTATGTGTAGATTTTTTTTTATATTTGTTTATATATGTATTTTTGTTGTTTAGTCGATAAGTTGTGTCTGACTCTTTTGTGAGCCCCTGGACTGTGAGCCCCTGGATTCTAACCCCACCAGGCTCCTCTGTCCATGGGATTCTCCAGGCAGGAATACTGGAGTAGTTGCCATTTCCTTTTCCAGGGGATCTTCCCGACCCAGGGATCAAACCCACGTCTCTTGCATATTCTGCATTTGCAGGTGGATTCTTTACCACTGTGTCCTGGGAAGCTCATGTAATTGATAGGAACCCATAAAAATAAGGTCAGGAGAAACCTAAATTTACTGGAAAGTCACAACCAGGGCAAGAGTTAGGCTATATATTCAGGCCATTGAGCTGTGCATGGTTTACTATGGTTGAGCCACAGATTTAACTCAGCTAATGAGTGATCAAAGCAGGGGAAAAGTGTATTATTTACACAGTTCATGAAGTCCATAGGGAGCAGGGGACCAGACGCTGAGGGCTTTTCCAGGCAGTTAGATTTGAAGGGAATTTCTTGCCTGGGTGGTCATCTACGAGATCCTGAGGGGCAAGCGAAATACGTGGCACATGTACTGATACTCTCTGTTCCTCCCCTCCTGCCAGCCATCACTAATCAGCACCCTTTCCCACTGAGGCCAGAGAGAGCCTTGCAGTCGGTCAAGCATGGTGTTCCAGGCAGCCATTACCAGCGATGTGGAGCTGGCATGCAGGGTGAAACCACGTGCTACTCCAGCTCTGGGGGTGATGGTGGTATCAGGAGTCATTGGGCAATTCTGGATGGGGAGCGCAGGAAGTTGTGGCAAGCACCTCTGCAGGAGTGGACACCATGTCCTGTTGTCCACTGGAGGTGTGTTTGCCGTAAACTGCGTCTAGGTGTCCATCGGAGGGACCCGTCAAGGTGATGATGGGTGCTGAGTGTGTTTGGTTAGTACATGTGGTGCATTCTTACTCCTCCCTGCCCCTGGGTGGGTGGCTTACTCAGGACTCTTGATTGCAAATGGCAAAGACCCAACTCAAACTAGTTTCACTGAAAAGTAGACTCGGTGGACCTGGCAAGTTGGGGATCAAAGGACTGATTCAGGCATGGCTGGAACCATGGAACCCATTTTGAGAAGTTCTTCATGATGATGTCCATCCCTCCCACTTAGCAGCACCTGCTTCTGTTCCCCACTGGGGATTAGGTGCTAGATGTGGTCTTCTTCTCACCACCTTTCTTCCTGTTATTAGCTTGTTTGCACTCTGAAAAGTCAACAATGGGATCCTTGTCACCTTCCTTGGCCCTTCAGGCAGGTGTCAGCTCCTTCCTGCATGACCTTTGCCCTCCTCGAGATGCACGTGGGAGGCCCTGGCGTTTGAGTCATTGGTTATGTTATCTAGGCCTCAGCTTACCTTCTTCGTAGGGAGCTACACCCAGATGGATGTCCCACCCCCAGCAGTTGAAGTTTCAGGAAGTCATGAGATGCTGATGTCCACTGCCTGGAATGAATAGTTTGGATACCTTTCTGTAAAATGTGCCCTTTTAAAAAACAACAACAAAGTCCTTAAAACTTGTAAAAGTGGCGAGACTTTAAACAATAAAAAAAAAAGGAATGCAAACATCCCCAAGAGAGGCCTCCCTCTGATAGAAGGTGTCCTTCATCTGTTTGGCTTTGTTGTTGTTTAGTCGCTAAGTCGTGCCCAACTCTTTTGCCACTCCATGGACTGTAGCCCCCCCAGCCTCCTCTGTTCAGCTTTAGAAAATGTCATTAGGAGGAACTTGGTCACCCATGGATTGGCTTCAGCTGGGCGTCGGTCCACCCAGAGAATCCAGGCCTTGGTTTGGCTCCAGCTGGGCCTTCCCGCGGCTGCCACTTATTGACTTAAGTCCCAGTGATTCAGATCTTCATCAGGGTCGCCCCTGACAACGCGTGGCGGGAGGAGAGGGGACCCGCCTCCTTCTAGACGCCTGCAGGGCCAGGCCCAGGCCAAGACCCCTCGGTTCCTGGTAGGTGTTTTGGGGTTCTTTGGCAGTGAGGGGATGGGAAGATTTCATTTTTTCTGGAGCCAAGGCTTTTCCTAGAACTTTGCTAACTCCCGGGAAGGGTGTGTCTGCTGGGAGAGCAGTGTTAATGGTTGACTTGCTTTTTTCTGGGTTACTCCAAGGCCTGTGGCTTCCCAGGGAGAGGGGGCAGGGATTGGAGAAGGGAGGAGCATCCCTCAACCCCCTTGACAGTTGCCACACTTTCCGCACCATCCTGTAGGCCGGGATAGCTTAGGGGTGGATGGAGGAGGGGATGTGTGCTTTGGAAGAAATGGGCCCAGAGCCAGGGGGAGAAAAGGGCCCCATTTACTACAACTGAACAAATTGGAACTTTCTGTTTGTTAAATATTTTTTATTGCACGTGAAGGCACTGAAAGGGGGGCTAGATTGTGTCTGGTCTCCAGATGACTGTGAGACAGGACCAGGAAAACCAAGAGCCATGCAGGAGATGTAAGAGATGTGGGTTCGATCCCTGGGTCTGGAAGATCCCCTGGAGAAGGAAATGGCAATCCACTCCAGTATTCTTGCCTGGGGAAATCCTATGGACAGAGGAGCCTGGCGGGCTAAAGTCCATGGAGTCACAGAAGAGTTGGGTCATGACTGAGCACGCATGCATACAGTAATATTAAGTATTTTATACAGATGAGCACTTTAAACATTGTAATGATTAGGTATTTATTTTAGTGTGCATTAGACCATGACTTTTTGTTTTAAAGTTCCCTTCTGTTCATAGCAAAAGATATGGTTTTCTCTTTGTGGTGGAGTTTCCTTTAAAAATAAACTTAAGTAAAAGAGTGAGTTGACTTAAAGAGAAATATTAAGTAAAGACTAGTATGGATGGCAGGTGGCATGGGGATGCCTGAGGTTTGGGAACAGTGTGCTGGAGGAATTCAGAGGCTCAGAAAGGAAAGGGCTCCTGGAAGAGTCAGCTGGTGTCGGGGAGGGGTAGGATCTAGCAAGGTGGAGGTGGGAGAGGGTGTATCTTACCAGCGGGTGTGCAAATGTGTGTGTGCAAATCTTTTTTTAAAATTTAATTTTCCAATTGGAGGATGATTGCTTTACAGTGTTGTTAGTTTCTGCTGTACAACAGCATGGATCCACTCAAAGTATACATATATCCGCTCCCTCCTAAACCTCCCTCCCACCCCCAGTGTGTGCAAATCTTGGTATCCATTTTAGTTGCAACATATGGAGAAGGAAATGGCAACCCACTCCAGTATTCTTGCCTGAAAAATCCCATGGATAGAGGAGCTGGGCAGGCTACAGTCCAAAGGGTGGCAGAGTATCAGACATGACTGAGTTACTGACCACAGCACAGGGCACACGAGTCCTGTAGGGACTGGAGTTTGGGCTTGGACTGCTTGTGGAGGATCTTGAATCCCAGGATATGGACTCCAAACGTGAGTAGTGGGAGCCATTGAAGGTGCTGGATTGGGGGCAGTGATTCATGACTGTCCTTGAAGAGACAGAGTCCTGGTACCCATTGTCTGTAATGAGGCAGGATGACCAGCCAGGGGCCTAAGGAAAAAGTGTGTAAGAAGCCAAACGAGAGCCATGGCTGAGGACCAGAAGCTCGGCCACTGGCCCGTCTGCTGCCTGGTGCTGGCTAGCAGCCTAGAGACATTGGAGAGAGTCAGGTCTGGGTTGATGAGCCAACTCTGGGTCTCTCTCTTGAGAGTCCCTTGGACTGCAAGGAGATCCAACCAGTCCATCCTAAAGGAAATCAGTCCTGAATATTCATTGGAAGGACTGATGCTGAAGCTGAAACTCCAATACTTTGGCCACCTGATGGGAAGAACTGACTCATTTAAAAAGACCCTGATGCTGGGAATGATTGAAGGCGGGAGGAGAAGGGGATGACAGAGGATGAGATGGTTGGATGGCATCACCAACTCAATTGGACATGAGTTTGAGTAAGCTCTGTGAGTTGGTAATGGACAGGGAAGCCTGGTGTGCTGCAGTCCATGAGGTCACAAAGAGTCGGACACGACTGAGCCCTGGACTGAACTGAGGGGAGGTGGTGGGAGCTGGGCAGGGGTGTGGATCAGAAGTTGTGTGTGGAGGCCCGAAAGGGAGGTGCCTGTCTCCCCCAGCTGAGCCCAGTGGCCCATTCCTGGGATCTCCTGGCTGAGTGTGGAATGTTCTGGGGGAAGCGGGTGGGGTCTGCTGCAGGAAGCTCCTCTCTGGGTCAGAGAACCGATTCCTGCAGAAAGAGGAAGCACTCGGTTTCCTGCCCTGCAGTTTGATCAGGACAGCCTGGCTAACAGCCCTGGGCTAAGATTTCATTCATCAGCTGAGCCTGTGGGCGTCAGGGTCATAGATTTTCGTTGTTGTTTAATTGTTCCATTTTTTTTCTTCTAGTTCAGAGACTATCCCCAGGAGTTCAGAAGCAGGCTTGATTTAAAAACAAGGTTTTTTCTTCCCTTTGAGGGCCAACTCTGGGCCAAACACTATGTCTAGAACTTTTACTCCGTTCACCCTGGACAAGACCTGCTGGGGAAAGAAAGTGTCATGACCTGCATTGTACAGAGGATGAAACAAGGGGTGGGGAAATGTGGCTACTCCCAAATTACATAGTGGGTTCACTGCAGAGCCTGATTCCAAACTCACATGCTGGGACTGTCGGTGGGAGTTGGGAGTAAGACTGTCACCAGCTATGTCACCTGGGAGAAAGAGCTCACTGTCCGTGCTTCCCTGTCTGGCTTGGGGCTGCTCCCTGTAGTGTGCTGGGGTGCAAAATGGGGGTGCTGGGTACCCCCAGCGTGGCTTCAGGGAATGCGTGAGTTATAATACAGCCACGGTGCCTTGTAAGTGTTCACCGCTCTTAATGCTGTTGTGATATAAAACTAGACTTGCAATTCTGAACATCAGTTTTATTGGGAGACATTTTTTGGGAGAGTATTACTTAGGGTGGGGGAGAAGCATTGTTTGTTTAATTAATTTTGGCTGTGCTGAGTCTTTGTTGTGCTTGGGCTTCTCATTGCAGGGGCTTCTCTGGTTGCGGAGCCTGGGCTCTAGAGTGCGGCTAGTTGCCGCTCTCCGACTTAGTTGAACCACAGCTCGTGGGATCTTCCCGGACCAGGGATCGAACCTGTGTCCCCTGCCTCGACAGGTGGATTCTTAACCACGGGAATACCAGGGAAGTCCAGAAGGGTTGTTTTAATTTTAAAAGAATTAATTCACATGGTGTAGAATGGGAAATCTTGAACTTGGAGACGCTGCCTTTGGCCTGGCTGTTTCTGGCCACACTCCCCTTCCCTAGATGCCGGGGCAGGTGCATGTAGGGAGGAGGGGAATCTGTGTTCGCTTTCCACTGTTATTGACCTCACTCAGGTGAAAGCCTGAGAACAAAGTTGGGCTTCCTTGGTGGCTCAGATTGTAATGGATCCGCCTACAATGCAGGAAACGCAGGTTTGATCCTTGGGGTTGGGAAGATCCCCTGGAGAAGGGAATAGCAACTCACTCCAGTATTCTTGCCTGGAAAATCCCATGGACAGAGGAACCTGGTAGGCTACAGTCCATGGGGTCACAAAGAGTCGGACATGACTGAGCATCTAAGCATGCACATGGCTGTTTTCATGACTTACCAGGAAGCCCCAGGTCTCTGATCTCAACCTGCCATAAATTATTGCCCAGGAGCTGTGTCCTAATTGCCTATGGCCTTAAGCCATTCTCTGAGTTACTTTCCAGCTCTAGCTTTCAGAGAGCCCTCTGCCTTTCTGGCAGTTCTACCAGGACGACTCTTCCTGGAATGCCTACCACAGCCCTCCTTCTCTCTTTCAGCTCTCTGCTAGACCTTCTTCCGCTTGGAAGCCCTCTGTGATTGCTGTAGAGAGAACGCCTAACTGAGCCTGCTCTTTGCTCGCACTCTTCTTGGTACAGTCCCAGCATTTATTAGAGATATTGTCTGATTCATTCAGGATTCCTCCCACTTGTATACAGTTTGCACTGGGTATTCACAGCCAACAAAACAGAGGTGGCCTCTTTCCCTACAGACCTTACAGAGATTAACGAGTAAAGAAAGAAATGCATGCATTCAAATTGTGACGCATCCAATGAAGACCTTTCCCTCTTAAGTGCTAGGCTGTGTCTCCCAGCCATGTGAGCCATGAGATATGGATGGAGATGTTTGTGGAATAAAGGCACAAACAGTACGCACTCTCCTCGTTTGCAGATAGGAGGAGATCAAATTGTTAATCAACATGAAAACAATTTGAAAAATATGACACATTATACACATCTAATTATAATTATAGAGTATCACAAGATTCTTTCTCATTGGTGAAGATGAGGGCAATATATTTTTTGTCTATAGAAGAAAATTAAGAAAAAATTTCCCCCTATCTTATTGGTAGCATTTGACTTAATTTTTTTTTTAAGTTTATAGAAAAAAATTGAGTGAAGTGTAGAGTTCCCACATTCTCCCTTACCCCAGTTTCCCATTATTAACATTTTTTTAATGTGTCATGTGTTTGTCATAACTCACAGAGTGTACACCAAGAGTGACCACCTAATGAAAGCTATGGGCTTTAGTTTACAATAATGTATCACTATCACGCTTGCCTTGGTGGTTCAGTGGTGTAGAATTGCCGTGGTCAGGGACTCCCACGCATATTTATTTCTGATTGCACTGGGCTACTCTCCAGTTCCGGTACCCAGGCTTCTCACTGGGGTGGCTTCTTTCATGGAGCACAGGCTCTCGGGTGCTCAGGCTCAGAAGTTGCATAGCACAGGCTTAGTTGCCCCATGGGACATGGAATCTTCCAGAACCCGTGTCCCCTGCATTGGCAAGCATATCTTTAACCACTGTACCACCAGGGAAGTCCCGTTATTAATACCTTGCATCAATGCAGTACATTTGTTACCAATGATGAGCTGATGGCGATAGTGTTCGTCACTCAGCCGTGTCACTCAGTCGGGTCTGACTCTTTGTGACCCCATGGACTGTAGCCTGCCAGACTGCT